TGGCACTGAGTGACGGTGCCATTCTTGGCATATAGGCTACACAGTATACCTCGCCGATGCAATAGTGCCAATAGAATTTTATTCGAAAGGATTTTAGAAAATACATTGGTAATATTGAGGCTGTTATTGCGTAGAACATCACCCAAAAGTTCTGGTAATGTCGATGGTGCCGTCGTGGTGAAGCATTAAATAGAGTTGTGGCAGAACCATCAAATAACATTATGCACCAACTCTAAATTGCCTTTTTTTTCGTTTTCTTCGAAATCGAAAAGGGTGAGTTGTGGTGGGCCCATCACAGTGCACATCACAACGATGGGTGGATGTGTCATTTAATCTACTTAGCTAGAAGGCGACGATGAGTTGATGACGCGACATTCAATCTATAAAGCGACGATTAGCTGATGTGTATTAGCTGTTCTAAGCCAGTGTTCAATATTTGGTAACCTCAAGTATTCACTTCTGTTGAATACTTTTTCTGGACATCTCTGAGAAGAATGTTTTAAAGTGATTTCCATAATAATTGACGTTTAGTATCTCATAAATGAAAAAAAATTGAAGAAGCCTGAATATAGAAATAACCTGTGTATGAAAATAATGTTAGAACATAACGTAAGGAAATTGAACAAGAAAATAGCCTGAGAAAGCAAATTGCTTAAGAACATAGCCACATTTTCTTTTTACATGTATTAAGCTATTCTCAAAATACATGAGTATTGCCGGGGTTGGATGCATGGAAATGGGAGGAGGGAAGGGTCACACGACGTTCCAACACTTTTAGGCAATCGATGATTGAGTGGTTACAGTATTGGGCGGCCAGTGCGACACAATCCTGGCTGCCTTAGTTCGAATCCTTGAGGGATCATTGATATAATATGAGGTATAGTCAAAATATTTGCTGACGATGAGTCACAATAACGTAGATGAATATATTTAGATACTCACGCATCTAAAAATGAAGAACCTAGGTTTCAGTCCGTCTTGGACCGTTATTAAGTCGACTTGATAATAGTCCTGAACGGACCGAAACGTCTTGTTTCTTCATTTTCAGACGTGTGGGCTGGGAATCAAGCATTATTTTGTCAATAGGTTCTTGCACGCATGCAAGAAACTGTTAAGGAGCGTCACGGAAGCAAAATATTGGATCTATTGGATCTTGATAAGTCCAATAAATAGGATAGAAAGATGCATTAATAAAAACACCTTGGTGTAAATTGCATCTATCTTGCATAGGCCCGTTGCTGTATTCTCATCATTTGTGCTTTCATTATTCTCCATGTCAGTGGTGATGGCAACATTGTATTACAATTATGACATCGTTACAGCTACCATTATGGCATCATTGCAGGAACCATTATGACAACATTTCAAGTACCATTATGGCAACATTGAAAGTACCATTATGACAACACTGCAGGTACCACTATGTCAACATTGCAAGTACCATTGTTAGAACATTACCATTCAAACAGTAAGCACACAGATGACGAGATCATTCTCACTACCATCACACACTAGTGACAACACATAAACATTACCACCACACCTGCCGTTCACGCTGTCAACCTACAGGTTAAACCACAATCACTCACACAGTTAACACGCTACTGACAGCGCCATCATTCACACTAAGTCATCCAGTAAACAATGAGCAGGTGGGGGAGGAGGATGAGGGGGTGGAGCCATTTGTCTCTGTCTCAAGTGCAGAAAAGTTTTGCTTCTTCCCGGAAACGCTGGAAGAATCCTATCTTTCTCACCAGAGAACTTTTGAGTTCTATCTACCGGGAAGTGTGTGGGAAGAAGTTTGCCTCGAGAAGCGAGGGGTGTATAAGACTCCTCTTGGTGACGGAGACCTGATAACCTCCTGGCGACGATAAGCTCTTCCTGGGGGACGCTGACCTGGGCCTTCTTCGGGGACGCTGACTTGGGCCTTCTTCGGGGACGCTGACTTGGGCTTTCTTGGGGGACGCTGACCTGGGCCTTCTTCGGGGACGCTGACTTGGGCCTTCTTCGGGGACGCTGACTTGGGCTTTCTTGCGGGACGCTGACCTGAGCCTTCTTGGAAGACGCTGATCTGAGAACCTCACTAGTGACGAAGACCCCGGAGACACGACTCTAGCAGCGAGGACCAGCAGAGACTCTCCTGGACACGACCTGGTGTACCAAGGATATCAACCTGGTGTTATATTATATCTGTGCATCAAAAGGCATTTTCCATTCCCATTTCAGAGATGACGCTAATTAGATTAATTGCGATCTTCATCTCATTAGGTCGCTGAGAGCCTCTCGTTATGCTGATGATTGATGTGATGCACTTGAGTCATAACATCCTTGGAATGGATGATGTTGATGTATACTGCCAGCATCTACAGCATCCAGAGAGAGGAAGATGTTGATGTATACTGTCATCACCACAACATCCAGCAAGAGGAAGATGTTGATGTATACTGCCATCATCACAGCATCCAGAGAGAGGAAGATGTTGATGTATTCTGCCATCACCACAGCATCCACCACAGCATCCACCACAGAAAGGTGTGCGTAAGGAATGATCGGTAATTAACTCCACCAAAATATCCAGTACACTAACATCCACCACAACATTCACCACAACATTCACCACAACATCCACTGTGAACACTGTGGTAAACTGACACTAACATTCACCACATGATCCATGCCAAAAAAAATTTGATCTGACAGTCAAACATTCAAGGTGAAATTTCGGTACTGTATACTGATAGCCAACATAACCAGCTCATTCTCTCGAATTGCTATAATGGACAAAATACGGGGTACTAAACGTATCAACCCAAACCACCCACCAAACCTAACCAACGTACGCGTAGAAAACGTGGATGTTTGTGAGCCGCTCCTTTTAGTCGGTACCACGTATTTTGACCGTTGGGGATTATAGTGTGGTCATCAAAATGTGGTGCCTGGTAACATACTACATATGTAAAAGAAGAAATGTATATGTTTATCTCTCAGAATGTTCGGTAATATGTTTATTGTATGTGATGTGTCTATATATGTAAGAACACGTTGTACTGAACGGGGGTGAGAATAGCTTGAGCTACCTCATCCCTTTGTGTGTATTTTACCTCAATAAACTTATTTCAATTTCAATTTCAAAATGTGGTGTACTATTTAAGAGAGCAGGTTACACTCAGCTGCATCGGAAGGATATTCTGAATTGCTCCTTGACTATTATATTTATTTTATGACGATCGAAATTAGCCTTAAAAAAGTTTATAGTGTGGAGAATGAGCCAAGTACCATCAATAATAGTCCCCCAGAGTCTTTCAAAATGGTTACACTTCGCCCCATAAAACTTCGCTCAAGTAGTATAATGAAAACTTTACAAAAGAAAATGCATAAAGTAAAAATATAAAAACAAAATAAAAAATATTGTAGCGTTCAAGTATCATAGCCTCGCTGACGACAGTCAAGTTCTAAAGTGACATAAAGTGTAATTTGAGTGTAAAGTGAGTATAAAACTCAGCAGGAAGTGCACAGTGAAATGACAATAGTGTGACACGTGTGTATACTAGAGGGGGGGTGGTATGGGGGTCACCTGTGTATACTAGAGGGTCGGGTGACGGAGGCCACATCTTCACTACACACATCCTCATCACTGCAACCATCTTTACTACACACAACCATCATTGCTGTAACCATCTTTATTACGTAAAAATCTTTCTCACTGCCGCCAACTTTATTACGCCATCGTTCTCACTATAGCCATCCTAACTACATACAATCATCATTGTAACCATCTCAAACTACACAGAGTTTTCAGCACTGTGTAACCCTTCTTCACTACAAATAATCTTTCATGACTGTAACCATCTTCACTACCAGAGGCTGGGACACAACCAGCACTTACGCACCTACTTACGAACCTCGACATCTTTTCTCAATCTTTGGCGGCTTTGTTTACATTTATTAACCAGTTCAATAGCATCGAAACTTCCCAATAAAATATTATTATTGTTATACACACCCTCCTGGTGCTTCCGAGCTCATAAACTCTTTAATATATGTAAACACAGCCGCCTAAGATTGAGAAAAGTTGCGTAACTGCTTGATGAATGCAACCAGAGGACCCCTATTTACGCCAGGTGAACAGAGGCATTAGGTGAAATAAACTGCCCATTCGTTGCTGCCAAAACCTCGACCGGATCCGTAGACTGCAAATCCCTGACACTGTTCGTTCTGCTGCGAGAACCTTACAGTCTAGGTGATATCCGGAATCGATCCGGATATCACCTCGTTCAGTGTGAGAGATCTCTCGGTAGTCCCGCCGTAGGACAAAATATTTATATCCGACCGTGACAGGACTCGAACCTGCAATCTTCGGATCCGAAGTCCGACGCCTTATCCATTAGGCCACACGGTCTGACGATACTACACTGTTTTGTCTTCAGTAAGCTTTTCCGTATCTTTACACGAAGGACTCCTCTTCACGAGATGCAATTTTTATAATCTTTTGTTTATGTTCCAAAATCTTGAAATCGATCTCAGTGTTATGTACTAGAGAAAAATTTAATTATATCCAGTTTACGTAAAGCTACGAGTGGTCGAAACCACACTTACATCCCGGACCAAACTTACGAAGGTTTTTCGACTTAGTGTAGCTACCTGAATACCGACGTAGCCACCACGAGGGCGCTAAGAAGGAAAACATTCATAGCTAAGAAGAAAAACCTTCGTAAGTACCTTAGTGAATCGGGCCCCAGGTACCTGCTTATGTAATTTATTTATTCTCCCCGGTTCTTCCGTGGTCGTAGATCATACTGCTTCCGCCGGGGAGGATCCTGCTGTTGGTGAGGTACCTGCTGCTGCTGTTGAGGTACCTGCTGCTGCTGTTGAGGTACCTGCTGCTGCTGGTGAGGTACCTGCTGCTGCTGGTGAGGTACCTGCTGCTGCTGGTGAGGTACCTGCTGCTGCTGGTGAGGTACCTGCTGCTGCTGGTGAGGTACCTGCTGCTGCTGGTGAGGTACCTGCTGCTGCTGGTGAGGTACCTGCTGCTGGTGTGGTACCTGCTGCTGGAGAGGTACCTGCTTACAAAGGGCCACATGCTGCTTGGGCAGCACCTGCGGCGTGGGAAACACCTGCGGCCTAGGAGGCACCTGCGGCCTAGGAGGCACCTGACGTCGGCCCCTCACTGCTGCTGGAGCCGCCACCTTCCTGCGGGAATCGAGCGTCCTGACCAGCTTCTCGAGGGTGAAAATGATGGCCTCGAGTGTCAGCCTGTCTGCCACAGTAAGCCTCGTGGACTCCACAACTAGTCTCTCCAAGTCTGGATAATATCCTCGCATCTGTCTGTGCACGTCCCCGACGAGGACGCCGAAGGAGTACACGTCACTGGCAACGCTGCAGGTGGTGCCAAAGACGAACATCTCCGGGGCTGACCGGAAGTACTCGAGGTGAGTGCCACTGAAGGTGATCTGGGGAGTGCCAACACGGCGAGACATGCCGTAGTCAATTATTCTCACCTGCGGAACTCCCTGGCACCGCCGGACGATGATGTTATCGAGTTTGATGTCGTTGTGAACGAGGCCCTTCTTGTGCACCTGCTGGAGTGCCTTGGCAGTGGCCAGTATTACCTGCAGGCACTCGCGGTCAGTCTTGAATTCCTGACGGAGGTCGCACAAGATGTCGCCCTCGCAGTACTCCATCAGGAGGGCTGAAGGGCACTGGCACACCCCGTATAGGGCGGGGGCTCCTCCTGCGCCCTGCAGCAGCTGCAGGAACTCTCCTTCACGCTGGAAGGATACATCCTCCGTCTTCCTGTTGTTGGCGACCTTAAGGACCATCATCCGGCCGGCGTCCTTCACCAGGATGGCCTTGCCATAGGCTCCCTTCCCCAGCGTCCTCACTCTGCCCTGACACGCCAGCTGCCATACTTCCTTACTGGTCATCATCTTCACCTCCTCCCGCCAGCACGACTTACTCTCCTCCTCCATCTTCTTGTTCAGTTTTCTCGTACAGGAAGACTCAGTATTTCTACTACAGGTATTTTCTGACATTTTTGTAAACACTATTATTTCTAAATTGTATTAAACAAATTTGTAATAAAAATTTAACTTTATATTACTGGGTTACTTTTCAGAGACGAACAGAGGCAAAGCCAGATGATGCTGTAAGCTGCCAGCCACCACAGCATCGAGAGTCATGATGTAGTCTTAACAGTTAGTACATCCATGGTGAGTATAATGTTATGTACTGACTGTTATTACGGACCTACAGTCGCCTGTAATATTCCTCTACCTTCATTAAATACACTTCAGACTGTCCAAAGATACTTTGTTAAATTTAGTGATATCTGGGCTTTATATTTCCTCTATCTTTTTTATTTCTGCAAATTTTCAGGTGACAACCTTACTAAACACCTTTAAACTTTTTTTTAACTTGGTGTCGTGATTGGTCCCTGTTTGTTACGGCGACCCAATCAAGGGGGTGTCTAGGGGTTTCCCTGGGCTGGGGGAGGGGTGAACGTCAAGAAAACGGTCTAATTTCAAGAAAAGTGTCCTCTCCTAGTACGTCCTTTCGCGACATTTTCAGAGGACCCAAAACAGAAAACGGCAAAGCATCTCACATTTCACAAAGTATGTTGAGTACGTCACTCGACCAGGCCTCCACCCCCAGGAAGCAGCCCGTCGCTGACTAACACCCAGCCGCTTCCATTTTCTTGCCGGCGCCCAGGATCGAACCCGGGACCACGACAAATTCTTTGGCCGACCGGCCTTATTTTGTAACGCATACACGATCGTCATTTCCAATATTTTCAGATTTGTGGATTGGGTGTCAAATTTTCAGCCACGTGAGTGACTTTATTGTATGTTAGAAGGAGATGAATTACAGGAAAGTTGTACAGATTCAACTCGAACCTGAGGAACTAGACTGACCAAAACACACAAGAACAAGGGAGATACCAGACTAACCGAGCCACAGAAGGACAAGGGAAGTTCCTGGCTAACAAATCCACATAAGGAGAAGGACTATCACGTAAGATCTTGCACTTAAAAAGTTCCCTTTATTTAACAATCGCGATTTTAGTTAAGAATAATTAACAACTGACATGTTCTCAGTATTACACGAATCTTTTCCCAACATCGAAAGTACACAGACAGTTATACTTTGATTAGGAAGTAATGCACGATCAGAATTCGTCCCATTCCATTGTTTAAATAACATATTATCCTGGAGACGCCTCGGAAAGAATCACCAGAAGAAAGTGGTCGTGGGTGAGAGTAATTGCATTCCTGTGTTTTTGTGACAAGTGAGACGCGTCTCATCTGTAATGCAGAGCCGAAATATTAATATCCGAGGCTCCAGGAGAATTGCGTCACGGTTGATGGTCACAGAAAAAAAAAATTACGAGGAGGAATATAAAAAAATATCAAGAGGAAGCGTTAGGCCACTATAGTAATATAACCTTAGGAAGGAAAGTGAAGAAAATGAGCAGGGATATGAGGTGGGAGTGAAGGAATGGTGCACAATTCATACCTCTCACTGTATTTCCCACTTCTATACTTCCCTTCATCTATGCCTCTCCTTCCTCTTTACTCCCCCCCCCCACAAAAAAAAATAGCTTGGGGCCACTGGGGATCAATCGGCGACCATGTAATTTGGGAGTGCAATCATTTTACTCAACCAGTAGAAAGGTTTCCATCAAGTCATATAACCTTACAAGGCCTGGATCACCCTACCATAATCAGGCTCCCATCACCCATGGCACCGTAAAACAACTTCAATTCCAGGGATTCAAGTGGTCGTTAATCAGTACACTTGACATTTATGAGGTAAAGCACCACTTAATAAATCTTGTGAATCTAGAGAAGCCTTTGAGATTGTTTGATAGCAATGAAATAGAGACTATTAACGTCTCTCTTTGTGTATCTCTTGGTATTTGATGTGGCTATTAATGTCCTGTGTTATTTATCTTTTTCTTTTCTTTCTACTCAAAAATATAATATAATTGTCGCCACATCCCATGCCATCTCTCTATGGGTCAGAAGTTTAACATTATAAAATTATTCATTATTTCGCTCAATCAAACCAACACAACTCATCAACTAACATAAACCAACACAACTCATCAACTAACATAAACCAACACAACTCATCAACTAACATAAACCAACACAACTCATCAACTAACCATCGCCGGTTATTTCAGGTGCAGAAAAACATCCTTCTCCCTCTTACATACAATATGTTGTGTTTATTTAGCAAATCATTTCCGAAACTCGATCCTGCCCTCTCCCTCTCGTCTCATAATACGGTTATTTTCACCTTGTTTTTCCCCTCAGCATCTCTCTCTCTCTCTCTCTCTCTCTCTCTCTCTCTCTCTCTCTCTCTCTCTCTATCTCTCTCTCCTCTCTCTCTCTCTCCTCTCTCTCTCTCTCTCTCTCTTCTCTCTCTCTCTCTCTCTCTCTCTTCTCTCTCTCTCTCTCTCTCTCTCTCGCTCTCTCTCTCTCTCTCTCTCTCTCTCTCTCTCTCTCTCTCTCTCTCTCTCCTCTCTCTCTTTCCTCTCTTTCTCTCATCTCT